GTGTGTGTGTGTGTATATATATATATATATATATGTATACATATATAGGTGTTTATGATATTATAATCAGCAACCATATCACTTTCAAATGTATTTATAAGTCTACTTTTTAATATTATTCTTTTTAAAAATAGATTACAAGTCATAAAATGCTCCATTTCTTTACAGAAACCACAACATTTCTGTCAGACTCATTCTATCAAGTGATGTGCAATTGTAGCTGCACAGTCAATGTTACTGGGAAAGGAATGTTGCTAGCATATGCTTCTTTGAAATCTTGCAGACACACACCTGTATGGTTGTTGAAAGCAATGCCAACTGGGACAATTTCAGTACAATTTCATGAAATCAATTTTAACACAAAAAATGTATGGCTAGTCACACGAGATGGAAACTCAAAAGTTGGAATTTTGCTGAATGTTTTAAAAAGTGTTTCTAGTGAGAAAATCTTTTCTCAGAGCCCCATCCTTCAAATTGAGCTTCAAACTGCATATTATTCAGGTGATGAAATTGTGGAATTCAAAGCTGAGTTCAACAGAATAGGTATAATTGCGAATTTCCTTAAAACATTCATCTTTTTAAGTTTAAGAAAACATGGTTTAACATGTATATGCAGTTGATAAAAGTAGTCTTTGAGATTATTATTGGTTGAAATGAATTATTACTATAAAGTAAGAATACAACTTATCAAAACTAGAGAATAATTATGTGCACATATTTTTAAGCAGTTACAGTTTCAAAATGGAATAATATTATCCTCTAATCAAAGCAAGCCATCTATGTAGATGAGAACTAAAATCTACCCAATGATGAATATAACTAAGTTAATTTACTGTCCTTATGTTCTTAATTAAAATGATTAAAAATGTGTTTGTTTAATCACTAAACTACCTTCACTATTAGTGATATTTTACATTTCCCCAGGAGCTAATATCTTATTTATACAATATTTCTTGAAATTGTTTTTACATAACTTATGAAGAAATACAGAACTTAGTGATGTTAGGAGATTTTTGGGAGTGTTGTTTAACCCTTAGTAAACTTCTGACATATTAAAATAATAGTTGTATGAGGTCTCTACTTACCTTTTGAATTTTTCTTTTGTAGGAAAAAAAAGTATAGTGCCATTGAATGGTTTTCCTGCACAATCTTCAAAAGAATTAAGTTCTGTCCACTTAGTGATTATAATATTTGTGTCAGTTCTTTTTGGTGTGATACTTTTATTATTGCTTCTTCAACAGCTTCATTTCTCTTATCGTCAGAAAACTACAAGCTTTCTCTGTAGTTCCACTTGCTCTTCTTTAACAACCATTACAAAATCGTGCAGTAATGTTAATGCACCAGATGTAGCAACATCTCTTTCAGAACTCTCCTGCTCTCCTACTATATCTTGGCAAGACAAAGGAAGACCATCTGGCAATTCTAGTCCAGAAGATTTTCTGCAAGATACTTTCCTGTTTCATTCTACATCTAGCGTATACACCATAATGCCTCAACAAAACTCATGCACCGAGGTAGAAAAGGCTAATGATAGTTCTTTTGCTCAACCTACAGTACAGAATAGTAATGAAACAAAAACACCATGTCCTTCAGTAAAACCTAAAAAATCCATCCTCAAAACATCTAAGCATATCACTAGTCATGTGGAAAAGAAAAATAAGAAACCATCATATTCTCCTTCTCTTGCTAAAGTAATTAGAAATAATTGTGCTACTGTCAAAAATGCCTTGTCTGAGACATCTGTAGCATTGTCAGAAGATGGCTTTGAATATGACTACTATGATTATACATGTCACGATATTCCTGGTTCATTCTTTTGCTCAAATCCAGCATTTATGGACTGGCCACCTTTTATCCCCATTCCTCCAAATTCTGTTCTGCCAGATGTTCTTTTACAACAGTCATCTCCAACCCATTCATCCAACTTAAATAACTTAGAGTCTTCTCTATAAAACCAGCACAGCAGCCTGTAGGTGCAATCCATATATGATGTAATATACAACAAGCACAATGATAACAAATTCTTTGTATACAAAGGATACTCTCCTTCTGACACCTGATATTTTTTATTCAGGTTTCAAATATTAAATTATTTTGTATTATCATCAATTTTATTATTCATACATTTAAGTCTGAAAGGCTTAATTCTCAAAGAGAATGATTTCTGTTATTATAAAAGATGAGCATAGTGAATATCCTAAAAACAAATATAACTGAAAAATTTTAAATTAAAATTATAGCAATAAAATCTGCTAGCCTTTAAAGATTTCAGTATTATTGTTTAAAATAAACACTAAACTGTCAATGTCATGGCTGATTCCCACTAACTTCAGCTGCTCATGGATAGATGAGTATCCATGTAAATGTTCTGTCCATTAGTCATGGTGTTTTATGAAGAACTGTTTGAAGGGAAAATTGGTAACACAGTTCTTTTATGTAAATAAACAAATATATATAAAGAGAGAAATTTTTGAATAAATTTGAGTAAAGCAGGTAGGAAATAGAGACATGGTATTCACAGATATTTAGAAACAAGTAAATACCATATGAAAGTGAATAAATAGATACATGTGCAAATAAATTGTCAACTAGTCATGCTGTTATGTTGAAAAATGATGTTAATAGTCAGATATATTGATTATATTTTATTTTTTAGTTCCCTTTGGTGGAATTTTGAGAAAAAACTTTTTTTTTCAGGAATAACTGTCAATAAAATTGAAATATCATTCACGATACATATATAATTATTATAATTCAGGAATACTGTATACAGTGACTGTTTTTCTATAATTTTGTTGGCGTGTCAAGAGAACATTATTGTTTTCTCTCAGTATTTACTGTACACCCATACAAAAATATTCTGTGTTTTGGCATACCATTTAGGAACTGCCCAGATAAATATGACTTCATGTTATTGGTACTCTCTTTTAAAAGGTAAAAAATTGGTACTACACATGTCGTTTGAAACTATATAATTTTTCTTTCATGAAGCATATGGTTTAAAATCTGCTTGCTCAGTGTATTTAGAAAATAACTTTTGTTTATATTTCACCCAGTAAGAGTCAAAATAACACCCAAAAGCTATGTTTTACTTTATAATATTAGCAATTTCTAACTGTAATTAAAATTTTAGTTATTAGATTTTGTGCTCAGTTGCCCTTAAGATTGTTCATTTTACAGAATCACATACCATTTACATTTAACAAGTAATTTTGCTCTTACAGAGAAGGGAGGGGTGTGTTAATTCATTAATATTTTGTTAATTTAATTGCATGAAAAGCATTTATTATATGTAGTTTTACAAAAAATAAACCTACAGGATATTGATATAAAGACAGATGTAAATGTTATTCAATAATAGAGAGTAACGGTTGGTAATAGGTGTCATAAGTGTACTTAAGTCTGCATTATATTTTCTACATTGTATAATTTAAAATACCTAAGACTAGGTATAAAAATTTTTGCTTTACAGAAGAATGTTTTGCTCAGTATATTTATCTGTTATTATGTTAAAAACATACTTTGATAGCTAAAATAATTTTATTTTACAGGGAAGAAATGAGAGAATATTTTGAACATATTGTGATGTAAATTGTAAAGTTTTGTATACTAGAAAAGCATTGTATTGTGAGTAGGATTCTCTGTTTAGCACTGTATTTATATTTATTTTATGATTAATGTTGTCTTAAGTGAATGTTCCTTTAGATAAGCATGTATGTTAAAACTCAGGTGACTTACATTAACAATAGAGAAGAGACCTTATAACTTACATTTTTAAGTTTATGCATATGTAGTCTTTATTATTTTGATATGTTACATTATCTCCTCTCACATAAATAGCTATTCTCGTTAAGTGCTGCCCTCCATATGCAAAAAAATTATGCAGCCTTCTATCTCCCCTCCATTAGAATTGACTGGTTCCAATGTGTTTTTCATGCAAATCATCATGCATCAAGCCTCCACCAATAAGAGTGTGACATACTCTCATGATGCATGTGACTCCCTCTATTCAATTGTACCGAATTATCACTTCTTGTTTGGCAGTTTTCATGTTCAGACATTTTTTCTTTTGATGCTCTTTGTGTGAATCATGATTTTATTTTAGTTTAATTTCCAAAGTGGGATTTCTTCATTGTTATTTTTTTGTTACACTGAAGAAATCTTTTAATTTAACATAATTTCCCACTCTATTTTTTTTATCACACTTGCATATTTTACATAAAACACTTTTATTTGATTTACATATTTTTCCAATGAATTCTGAGGTTCATGTTCCCACATCGGATGTTATACCTCTAGCACTATTTTCACAGGATACAGGTGGGGGTGACCCATTGTTGGATTTTTCTGCTATTATCCATTGGTAGATTGATTTTTTATATGGGTAAACCTTCTTCTCCTGAACTTGCCCCATTAATCCTCCTGAACAAGCCAAACCTGTTCGGGCTGATGAAGATTTGATAGCCTTTTTTACACCACCAGATTTTGCTGTGTTTTTCTCTACCTCTCCTACGGAATCATCTAGGCCTTATACGGCATTTTTAACATGATTTCTTAGGTATATTATGTTTTATCCAATTCCCTGTTTTTCTATAAATCCTTATTACCTCCATGTTGGCTCATTTCTCGTCTTTGGCTCGTGCTTTACACACGTGTTTTCACTGTAGTTGGGATTTTTTTTTGGTTGCAATGCTGACCTTGTCCTGGGTACGTTTGCCACCTCTTTCTTTTTGGGATTTCTGTAATGTATGTGAGACTTAGGAATCTCATGTATAATTTGTGTGTCAACACTTTACCTTTTCCTGTTTGGTTGCATGTTTGTCACTGTTGGAACCACGACATGCCCCTATTCCTTTCCCGTCCTGGTCCTTATCTACCCATCCCAGTCTCCCTTCCAGGGGTTTCTCATCTCATTGTTTTATTCAACATTAAACATTCATCACTTATATGCTCTCAGGTTGCACTTTCTTTGGTCGACTGGCTACTGTTTGCTCATTCCAAACAGGAGTCCTTGTGACCCTTATCAGGTGCTCCTGGAAGCAGCTATAATAGGCTATTAATCAAGTTGGAAAAGTCCTGGGTGTTTTTGTTTTTCTACACACATCTCAGTCGGGCCTGCCCTTCTCCTCTTCGACTTCGTTTGATGGGTTTTCAGTTTGATTACAACTTGCGATTTTTCTGTTGCTTATGGGAATGAGATCTTCCATGGTAGTCCTTATCTGCTTAGGTCAGGCTCATAAGTGGGCTTTTTGTGACCAGTGGAATTTTGCAAGGACCCTTTGTCAGCTTTTATTATCCTTACTCCAACCATCATTGTTGATCAGCATTGATGGTTAGATATGACTCACATATCAGCAGATGTCCTGCTTCCTCCTCTTCATTCAGTTTTCATGGACATACCCTTTGGGGATGGGGGCATAGGTTGATCAACTATAAGATTCAGGGTTTTTGGTTTGCAGCTGAGAGGTCTTATCCGATCAACGTCCTGGTACTTCTCGCTGTAGGTCATGTTTTGGTTCATTTTCTCCATCGGAAGTTGTCTGGTAATGATCCATTCTGATTTTTCTTTGTTGATTGCTTATCTCAATCACAGGGTGGCACTTGTTCTTCATCCCTCAGTATGTTCGTGTATTGGTTCTTTTTGGGCCCACATGCTTGATATTCCTATCATTGCATGTTATGTTCCAGTTGCTTTTGCTCTTGTGGATCAGACGACATTTATCCAACGGAGTGGTCTCTCAATCCTTTTGTTTTCCAGGGGCTAGGACTTCAGTGGGGTTACTCCTCACATTGAGGCTTTTGCTACATCCCTTAACCACAAATTGCTTATGTTTTTATTTCCAGTTCCTCGTCTTCTTGCTCTGCTTATCAATATTTTCAGCCAGGATTGGACCTACACATTTGTCTATCCTCCTATTTTTTTTTCCTCTCTGAATGAGTTCATTCATCCTTGACTCTCCATGTTCAGTCCTTCTGATAGCTCTTTCCTGGCCATCTCAGCAGTGGTTTCCATGGCTTCTCTAGCTCCATCCCTTCTTTGCCAACCTCAGTCACTGGTATTTCATCCAGACCTTCTTGTTCTCCATCTTCATGCCTGATTTTTCCTCTGGTCATTGGAGAGGTGATCTGGCTTCTCTCGATGGTTAGCCTCTTTTCTGGCTTGTTTCACTTGTCCTTCCTACATGGAAGTTTCCCCTAAGGAAATGAAAATTTTCTGTCCTTGGTTTCTGGATCAAGGGTTTTCCCCAGATCAACCCACTGTTCTTCATCATGTCGATTTCCTCTCTTGACTTTTGGATCAAGGGTTTTCTTTCTCCTCGGTCTCAGATTTTTAGGTGGTCCTGTCCCACAACTTTCATTTTTTCTGATCCTGCAAGTATTTACCTCTCTTACACTTTACCTGTGGATGTGTTCCTTCTAGATTTGTTGTGTAGGTAGGAGAAAGAACAGACAAAGGTTGCCAAGGGAGAAAGAGACAGGAACTGACACCACAGAAGGAAGCCCTGCTGGCAATATAATAGAGAGGAGCACATACAGGACATAGAAATTTATCAGGATGAGGATAGAGGTGTGAAATAGAAGGAAGGGAAAGCAGCTAAATGGAGGATTTATCCTCACAAGTTGCTGAAGTGTCAGGAAAAACAATCCAGAGAAAGGAAAAGATATGAGGAAGGATAAAGAGTATGTGAAACACTGATGGCAAATAAACAGACCACTGACATCCACAGGTGAAGGAAGGAAGACATAAGGGGAGGTGAAAAAAGAAGCAGTGGGAGAGTGCTACGAACGTAGGCAATGTGAAGCAGTACAGGACCACATTAATATCCCCATCCGGAAGGGCAGCTCATGGCGGCGGCCGATGTAAATAGTGAGAGAAGAATGTCTCATGGGTAATCCAATGCCCAGTTGAAGAAGTATCTCCAAAGGTAGACAAAGATGAAATTGGCAATGAAAAGGTAAGGTGTCGAATTGGATAAGAAAACACTCAGAATATAGT